TCCAAATTCTCTGCATAATATTTACACCACACATTGCCCTTAGACAGGACATCTCCACTGCCTCCAACTGCCTCCTCACTGCTGCATTCACAACCCAAGCTTTACACCCATATAAGAGTGTTGGTACAGTACTATACTTTCATACATTCCCTTCTTTGCCTCCACAGATAATGCTTTTTGTCTCCACATATACCTCAAAGCACCACTCACCTTTTTTCCCTCATCAATTCTATGATTAACCTTATCCTTCATAAATCCATCCGCCGACACGTCAACTCGCAAGTATCTGAAAACATTCACTTCTTCCATACTCCTCTTCCCCAATTAGATATCATCACCTTACTCTTTTCTATGTTCACTTTCAACTTTCTACCTTTACAAACACTCCACAATTCGTCCACTAAATTACCTATGATAACCCCAAAAAAAGCCAAAGTACTATATTGTGCTTGTAGATATAAGGCATGATTTTTTTTTGTTTTTTTTTTGAACATTTAGAGGACTAGCGAGATGCAGAGATCAGTGCTGTGACAGATAAAAGGTTAAGGGGTTAAATAAAATATTCCTTGATGTGAGAAATCATAAAAGCACTTGTAATTTCACTTTTTTTACTATGCCTATTTTGTATATGTATTGTTTACTGTGATGTTATTGCAACAATACAGTAGTACTGTAATACTTAACAATAATTTTTATCACACCATCAACAGCTGGATACTGAAATAAAGTGAAAGCTTTCTCCCTAGATTAGTACTAACCCATTCTCTGGAGACAAATCAAAAAATTCACCCTCCTCCTCTTCATCAGGAGAATAGTAGTCTGTGTCAGTAGCCCTGCTGCTATCTGTCTCATACTGAGCTGTTTTATAACTGCCTGTAGTAGTAGTGCTGCTAAAGCTGACAGTTTTCTTTCTGAATTCTGAGTGTGATGATGGATACTCGGTGTAACCATAAGCTTTGTCAAACTCTGAAATATCAAATATCCCGTTAATTCATAATTTTGATTATGAAAGTTAACTAAATTGTTATAATTACACAATTACTGAATATGTATGTATGTGTGTGTGCACTCACCTATTTGTGGTTGCAGGGGTCGAGTCATAGCTCCTGGCCCCGCCTATTCACTGATTGCTACTAGGTCCTCTCTCTCCCTGCTAAGTGAGCTTTATCATACCTCGCCTTAAAACTATGTATGGTTCCCGCCTCCACTACTTCACTTTCTAAGCTATTCCATGGCTTGACTACTCTATAACTGAAGAAATACTTCCTAACATCCCTTTGATTCATCTGAGCCTTCAACTTCCAATTGTGACCTCTTGTGTCTGTGTCCCATCTCTGGAACATCCCGTCTTTGTCCACCTCGTCTATTCCGCGCAGTATTTCATATGTCGTTATCATGTCTCCCCTGACCCTCCTGGCCTCCAGTGTTGTCAGGCCAATTTCCCTCAACCTTTCTTCGTAGGACAATCCCCGTAGCTCTGGGACTAGTCTTGTTGCAAACCTTTGCACTTTCTCTAATTTCTTGACGTGCTTGACTAGGTGTGGATTCCAAACTGGTGCTGCATACTCCAGTAGGGGCCTGACGTAAATGGTATACAGAGTCTTGAACGAATCCTTACTGAGGTATCGGAATGCTATCCATAGGTTTGCCAGGCGTCCGTATGCTGCAGCAGTTATCTGATTGATGTGCGCCTCAGGAGATATGCTCGTGTTATACTCACCCCCAGATCTTTTTCCTTGAGTGAGGTTTGCAGACTTTGGCCATCTAAACTATATTGTGTCTGCGGTCTTCTTTGCCCATCCCCAATCTTCATGACTTTGCATTTGGCAGGGTTAAACTCAAGGAGCCAGTTGCTGGACCAGGCTTGTAGCCTGTCCAGGTCTCTTTGTAGTCCTGCCTGATCCTCATCCGATTTGATTCTTCTCATTAACTTCACATCGTCCGCAAACAAGGACACTTCTGAGTCTATCCATTCCGTTATGTCATTCACATATACCAAGAACAGCACAGGTCCTAGGACTGACCCCTGTGGAACCCCGCTTGTCACAGGTGCCCACTCTGTGTGTGTGTGTGTGTGTGTGTGTGTGTGTGTGTGTGTGTGTGTGTGTGTGTGTGTGTGTGTGTGTGTGTGTGTGTGTGTGTGTGTATGTGTGTGTGTACACTCACCTAGTTGTACTCACCTAGTTGAGGTTGCAGGGGTCGAGTCCAAGCTCCTGGCCCCGCCTCTTCACTGGTCGCCACTAGGTCACTCTCCCTGAACCATGAGCTTTATCATACCTCTGCTTAAAGCTATGTATGGATCCTGCCTCCACTACATCTCTTCCCAAACTATTCCACTTCCTGACTACTCTGTGGCTGAAGAAATACTTCCTAACATCCCTGTGATTCATCTGTGTCTTCAGCTTCCAACTGTGTCCCCGTGTTGCTGTGTCCAGCCTCTGGAACATCCTGTCTTTGTCCACCTTGTCAATTCCCCTCAGTATTTTGTAAGTCGTTATCATGTTCCCCCTATCTCTCCTGTCCTCCACTGTCGTCAGGTTGATTTCCCTTAACCTCTCCTCATAGGACATACCTCTTAACTCTGGGACTAGTCTTGTTGCAAACCTTTGCACTTTCTCTAGTTTCTTTACATGCTTGGCTAGGTGTGGGTTCCAAAATGGTGCCGCATACTCCAATATGGGCCTAATGTACACGGTGTACAGGGTCCTGAACGATTCCTTATTAAGATGTCAGAATGCTGTTCTGAGGTTTGCCAGGCACCCATATGCTGCAGCAGTTATTTGGGTGATGTGCACTTCAGGAGATGTGCCTGGTGTTATATTCACCTCAAGATCTTTTTCCTTGAGTGATGTTTGTAGTCTCTGGCCCCCTAGACTGTACTCCATCTGCAGTCTTCTTTGCCCTTCCCCAATCCTCATGACTTTCCACTTAGTGGGATAGAACTCCAGGAGCCAATTGCTGGACCAGGTCTGCAGCCTGTCCAGATTCCTTTGTAGTTCTGCCTGGTCTTCGATCAAATGAATTCTTCTCATCAACTTCACGTCATCTACAAACAGGGACACTTCGGAGTCTATTCCTTCCGTCATGTCATTCACAAATACCAGAAACAGCACCGGTCCTAGGACTGACCCCTGTGGGACCCCGCTGGTCACAGGTGCCCATTCTGACACCTCGCCACGTACCATTACTCACTGCTGTCTTCCTGACAAGTATTCCCTGATCCATTGCAGTGCCTTCCCTGTTATCCCTGCTTGGTCCTCCAGTTTTTGCACTAATCTCTTGTGTGGTACTGTGTCAAACGCCTTCTTGCAGTCCAAGAAAATGCAATCCACCCACCCGTCTCTCTCTTGTCTTACTGCTGTCACCATGTCATAGAACTCCAGTAGGTTTGTGACACAGGATTTCCCGTCTCTGAAACCATGTTGGCTGCTGGTGATGAGATTATTCCTTTCTAGATGTTCCACCATTCTTCTCCTGACAATCTTTTCCATGACTTTGCATGCTATACATGTCAGTGACACTGGTCTGTAGTTTAGTGCTTCATGTCTGTCTCCTTTTTTAAAGATTGGGACTACATTTGCTGTCTTCCATGCCTCAGGCAATCTCCCTGCTTCGATAGATGCATTGAATATTGTTGTTAGGGGTACACATAGCGCCTCTGCTCCCTCTCTCAGGACCCATGGAGAGATGTTATCTGGCCCCATTGCCTTTGAGGTATCTAGCTCACTCAGAAGCCTCTTCACCTTCTTCCTGCAGTTGTGGGTACTATGTCCAGCACATGGTGGTGTAACCCCACCTCTCCGTCTTTCTGGACCCCTCTGTCTCCTCTGTGAACACTTCTTTGAAATCCTCTTGTTAGTTCCTCACATACTCACTGTTCATTTTCTTGTTGTCCTCTTCTCCTTCCTTCTTTAGCCTGATTACCTGGTCCCTTGACATTGTTTTCCTCCTGATGTGGCTGTACAACAGCTATCGGTCAGATTTCTGGCTTTTGCGCTATGTCAATTTCAATATTGCTTGCCTCACCTTCTTATCTGTGCATATCGTTTCTGGCTCTACACTGCTCTCCTTATCTCCGGGGTCCCTTTGCCTTCTAATATTTCTTTCATCCCTGGCAACACATTGGTTTTTTGCGGGGTCCTTGCATTCTTTTGGGTGAACCAATGGGCTCATCCTGCTTTTTCATAATTCCTGATTTCCCTTGGGTACAACCTCTACTCAGCTCCTTGCATTGGTTGCTGACATATTCCATCATCCTCATTAAACTGCTTCCCTTCCAGTTCTCTGTCCCACAGAACCGAAACCTCGTTCAGGAAAAGTTCCCCTCATTCCGGTGTAGACCCCTTTCTGTAGTTTGGTTTGGATTTTTGTCCTGGCCTTCCTGCTTCCTTCCCCCTCCACTTGTACTCTACTGTGTATATCACGTTCAAAACCACATGTATCGCTGGCCCTCAAGTGGTCTTTCATATGTGATATACTCAAAATCTGCACTACTTCAAGGTGAAAACTAAGTCCAGTCTTGCGGTTCATCCTCTCCTCTCTCTCTCTCTCTGTAGTTATCTCCTTACTGGTTGGTACATGAAGTTTCCAGTACCACCTCCATCATCTTAGCCCTCCATGTATCTTGGCCCCCATTAGGCTCCAAGTTCTCCCATTTGATTCTCCTTGTGGGTTAAAGTCGCCCAGAAACAGGAGCATTTGCCTCATGCATGAGCTCTTCTGGCCACTGCAGCCAGTGTTCAACCAATCGCTCTAATGCTCTCGTCATACTACTTGCCTTGGCCGTCCCTGCCGTTCTGTTGTGGGTTTATACAGCACTGCAATTATCACTTGGACATCCAGAGTGAAGCGTCTCCGCTATGCAATCCTTTCTTCTCCGCTGTCCTTGTCTCTCCAGCTCATCAATTTCCATCGGTGTTGATTCAGCAATGCCACTCCTCCACCCTCCCTCCTGTTCCCATCTGTCTTTCCTCAGACTGGTATCCTCCCCCGTTGGAAAGATGGCATCTGTTATCATACCTGTAAGCTTGGTTACTGTGATCACTATAAGTCAGTTGATGCCTCTTTGACTCTTTCGGGCCACTCCTCCCACTTGTTTGTTATTCCATCAGCGTTTGTGTACCAACCTCTGTTTCCTTTCCACACTGAGGTTGGGGGGCCTGTGGGTGGGATACCTGGAGCATACTGTGGATTCTATGGTTGGGGGTTGGGTGGAAGCTGTGGGTATGGATGTATGTGTGTTGGGAATGGTGTGATATGTTGGTGGGTTCTGAGGATAGTTGTTGTGTGCTTGCCCTTGCTGCTCTGTTTCTGCCTCCTGACTGACCTCTGCTGGTTCCATCCTTGTCTCCTTTCCTAGTCCCTTTCTCGCTTTTTTGTCCTCCGCTCCCTCAGCTGCTGTCCCTCTCTGTTTGTGTTCTGTCTCTGTCTTGGTTTCCTGGAATCCTGTTCCGCACATGTTTTTCTGGTCCGGAGCATCAGCCTTATCGGTTGTTTCCTCCCCGTCAATTACCCCCCTAATCTCTAGAAAATTACAATCTCGTCCATGTCTTCTCTTCTCACCCCTATTTCCCGAGATGATTTTCTCAATCTCCTTTCTTTCTTCCTGCCGTCTTTCAGTGAGGTGTCCTTTCCTCTCTCCTCCCCTGAAGCCCATTGATAAACACGATTTTGCCCTTTCCTCCTCCTCCCATTGCCCTCTCCCTCATGTGACTCTGGTTTCCTGTCTGTATGTCGTCATTTTCTCCCCTTGATTTTTCCAGTGCTCTTGGTACATGGTTTGTGCTCAGCATTCGACCTATCTCCCTCTCCATCTGCACCCTTCTCTGCTCTTCCCTTCCACTCGCTGGCCCTTCTTTGCAGGCAGATATGACCTTAGCTAATTCTATCTTCCTTCCTCCTGTTCCAGCCATCTCAGCTTCATATGGTGTGTCTTCTCTGGTCATTGCCCCTGAGACTTGCTTCAGCTGTTTAAACCTCAAATTCTATGGACCTTTACCCTGGCTACTGCAGTTTCGACTTGTGCCTCCCATTCTTCTCTCCTTTCTCCAACCTCTTTCCCCCCCCTTTTCACAGAGACTCTTTCTTCCTCCATTTTCAGAAAGCTCTCCTAATTTTCTCATCCCATTCTTGTCTCTATCTTTTTCCACTGCTCCTCCTTCACTCCTCCCTCCCATACCATTGTCAGCTGATCCCTGATTCCTGCAAGTCCAACCATTTTTTTTTTATTTTATTTTGTGAAAAGAGGAGAGAAAGGAGAATAAGAAAAAAGGGGGAGAGAGTGAGAGAGAGGGAGAAAGAGAGAGAAGAGGGATGGTAGAGGGAGAGAGGGGGAATGAGGGAAAAGGGGGGAGAGAGAAAGTGAAGAAGGGAGGGAAAAGGTAAGAGAGAAGAGGGGGAGTGAAAGGGCAGAGTGAGAGAGAGAGAGAGAGAGAGAGAAGAAGAGAAGAGAAAGAGAGAGAGAGTAAGACAAGAGGAAGAGAGAGAGGGAGAGAGAGAGGAAGGAAGAGAGAAGAGAAGAGAGAGAGAAGAAGAGAGGAAGAGAGAGAGAGAGGGAGAGAGAGAGAGAGAAGCGAGAGGAAGATAGAGAGGAAGAAAGGGAAAGAGAGATGAAGAAGGAAGAGAGAAAGGAAAGAGAAAGGAAGAGAGAAAGGAAGAGAGAAAGGAGAGAGAAGAGGAAGAGAGAAAAGGTAGAGAGAGAGGAAAGAGAAGAGGATGAGAAGGAAAGGAAAAAAGAGAGAGAGGAAGAGGAAGAGAGAGGAGAGAGGAGAAGAGATGGGGGGGGAATGGAAGGTTAGAAGGGTCCCCTTTTTAACTACTACTTCTTCAGTTCAACACCAGGGAAGGGTGTGAAATCCTGTATGTGTGTGTGTGTGTGGTGTGTGTGTTGAGTGAGTGGTGTGTGTGTGTGTGTGTGTGTGTGGTGTGCATGCTAACAAAAAAAAACAGGAAAAAACAAAATATATGCAACAGAACAAAAAAAAAACCAAAAACCCTAATTGGTGTGCATGCTAAAAAAATAAACAAAAAACAAATAACAAAACAATATGCATATATGCAAAAAAAAAACAGAAACCCACATACTGCTTGTGCTACAAACAAACAAAATAAATAATAAAATACACAACACAACCGCTACAGTGTTTGTGGTCAATGCTAACAAAAAAGACTATTCACATGCCTAACAGTAGATCCTGTACTCACCTAGTTTGTGTGTGTGTGTGTGGTGTGTGTGTCGTGTGGTGTGAGTGTGTGTGTGTGTGGTGTGTGTGTGTGTGTGTGTGTGTGTGATTGTGGGTATGTGTGTGTGTGGTGTGGCATGCTGCATCTATTCAAGTGCCTAACCAGTCCTGTACTCCCTAGTGTGTGTGTGTGTGTGTGCATGCTACAGCTATTCAAGTGCCTAACAGCAGGTCCTGTACTCACCTAGTGTGTGTGTTAGTTACCATTTTGTCCTAGGCACATGTCAATTAGACACTAGGCCTGTTGTATTTGCGAGTGTGTGTGTATGTGTGTGTGTGTGTATATGTCTGAGTGTGTGTGTGTATGAGTGGGTGTGTGTGTGTACTCACCTATTTGTACTCACCTATTTGTGGTTGCACGGGTCGAGTCTTAGCTCCTGGCCCCGCCTCTTCACCGGTTGCTCTTCACCGGTATGAGTGTGTGCGTGTGTGTGTATGAGTTTGTGTATGTGTGTGTGTGTGTGTGTGTGTTTATGTGTGTGTGTTTATGTGTGTGTGTTTATGTGTGTGTGTGTGTGTGTGTGTGTGTGTGTGTGTGTGTGTGTGTGTGTGTGTGTGTGTGTGTGTGTGTGTGTGTGTGTGTGTGTGTGTGTGTGACTCAACAGTCAATATTTGCACCAATAACTCACTACAGTTGTGACTGGGTGTGGAAGTGTGAATTGCTCATTACACTATAATTTGTTCATGATTGTAGCCATGTATAAACGTAAGTAACAATTCTTACAGCATTCATTACCTTTGTAACTTGTGAGTTCATTACCTTGTACCTAGTTCAGCCATCCAAACTTTGGGGCCCAGTCCCTGGATCCATTACGTACCTCTGTAATCTGTAAATACCTTTGTAACTTGTCATGATTGTGACCAGACCTACCCGGAGTTCATTACCTTTGTAATTTGTGAGTTCATTACCTTTGTAAATTGTGAATTCATTACCTCTGTAACTTGCTCAGCTATCAAAACTTTGGAGTCTAGTCCCTGGACCAATTATGTACCTCTGTAATCTTTTGACTACCGCCCACAGGATGGGTATGGGGTGCATAATAAACATATTAAACTAACTAACTAACTCAAGGAGAACTAAAATAAAGGTCAGCACTTGTCAAACACACCGCAAAAACACACACCAGCTTACACTCCACAACTGCACCTACAAACATTTTCTGGTAGACTCGCGCCAAGCCAAATCTAATTACATTGGGCATCAGTCAGGGCAGGCTCGCTCCATTACCGACACAAACCACTCCATTCACAACACCAACTCTCGCCGCCCCAATCAACATACCCAGGCTCCTCTTGTGTGTTTACATCAGTGATATTTGTTTCTATGCATGCAGCTGTGCATGCATGCAGCTTCCCACCACAGCCACCTCAACTGCGAGTTGTACCTGACCACTGGCAGTTCCTAGTTTTATTTGTTGTGAAGAGGATACATTATTATTATTATTATTATAATCAAAAAAAACGCAAACCCAAAAAGGGGGTAACCGGGGTAAAAAAAAAGGG